CAAACTCCAAATATGACCCTTTGTTGGTCAAATGTGTTGAAAATACTTCCTCTATGTGTACGTTTATATATATAATTGTTTTCCTTTACAGTTAACACTCTTTTGTGGCTTAAGACATCCTCCTTTCTTTTCCTATCTCTGAGGTTAAAAAAATCCTGTGTTTTCTTCAACAATTTGATTATTTTACATTTGACACTTAGATCTATAATCTATCAGAAGACTCGTGTGTGTGCAGCACGAAGGAAGGGTCAAGTCCATTTTTTTTCCTCTCACGGATAGTAATTGATCACCCTTTCCCCAGTGCCCTGCAATGCCAAATTTGTCATGGATTAAGTGGTTATTTACGCAAGCTGGGAAGGTTTTTTCTTTCCCTTTCTGTATTCCTAGTCTCTGGAAGAGCTTATGTAACACTCGCATTCTTCATCCTGAAAGTTTTGAGACAACTTGCTGGGAAGGTCATTTGGGTTTTCCTCAGAGAAAAGTACTCAATTTCAACTCTAATTGATTTAATATTTATGTTAATATTTAGCTTTCCTATTTTGGGGGTCCATTTTGGTTAGTTGTAGTTTTTTGTTTGTTTGTTTTAACTTTTTTTTTTTAAAGATTTTATTTATCTATTTGACAGACAGAGATCACAAGTAGGCAGAGAGGCAGGCAGAGAGAGAGGAAGCAGCTCCCCATGGAGCAGAGAGCCCGATGCGGGGCTTGATCCCAGAACTCTGGGATCATGACCCGAGCTGAAGGCAGAGGCTTTAACCACTGAGCCACCCAGGTGCCCCTTTTTGTTTTAATTTTTAATTTAATTTTATTTTTTCAGTGTTTCAAGATTCATTGTTTATGCACCACACCCAGGGCTCCATGCAATCCGTGCCCTCCTTCATAGCCACCACCAGGCTTTTTTTTTTTTTTTCTTTCTTTCTTTTTTTGGAGAAGTGTGTCTGTTCATCTAAATTCACAAACTTATTTTGGCATAAAGTGTTCATAATATACATATTACTATTTTCCAAACTCTAGAAAGTCTGGGGTGGGTCCCCTCTGCACCCTAGAGTTTGTCACCTGTGCCATCTTCTTTATTTCTCTACTATCCCTGCAAGAGAGTTTTCCATTTTATTCATGTTTCAAAGATTTTTTTTTCAAAGAACCAACTTCTGGTTTTGCTATTTGTTATACATTTCAATAACTTATTTCTTACCTTTACTGTATCTTTTCTTCCACTTCCTGTTGCTCTGTCTCTAACTTGTTGACATTTAAAAAACCGACTTTTGGCTTTCCTTCTTTTGCAAAACAGACGTTAAGACATAAATTTCCCCTATGAAGACATTACCAGCGTCCCACAAGTTCTGTCATATTTTCATTGTCATTTGTTACAAAGTTCTGCTTTTTTGTGATTTCTTCCCGAATCTAGTGATCCCTTAGAGACATAATTTAGAACTCCCAGAAAGATGAGAAAGTTGTTTTTAATATTTGCATGGCATACCTTTCCTGGTTCCGTTCCTTCACCTTTAAATTTTTAGCATCCTCATGTTTTACATGCTTTTCAGAAATCTTAGGCTTTAAAATATTTTATTAATGGATTTATCTCTAATGTGAATTCACACTAAACGAGTCTCTTAAACTTTCATGGCTTGAAACATAAACTTGAACTGAGTTCAAGCTTAGTTATTTTCAGAGGTGATTTTATGCCTACATCTACGACCTTCCTATTGGTCTTGTGTGTGTGAGTTTTTTTTAGGCTTTATTTATTTATTTGACAGAGAGAGAGAAAGCACATCAGGGGAGAAGCTGGCAGAGGGAGCAACAGGCTTTCCCACTGTGCAGGGAGCCCAATGTGGGACTTGATCCCGGGATTCTGGGATCATGATCTGAGCTGAAGGCAGATGCTCAACCACTGAGCCACCGGGGTACCCTGTCTTGTTTTCCAGGTCACTCCTGTTCACCTCTTTTTTGTCACCTTTGGGATAGACTGACTTTTATTATTCTGTTTTACTATCTCTATTGGTTTGGAAATTACATACTCACTATTACTCCTTCAGTGGTTGCCTTTGAAATTACAGCCTGTGAGTCTGAGTTACCCGCCTGCGACAGTAAACCCTGCTTCACGCTCTCCTGATTTCCCTGGCATTATTTACTGTTCGTTTTTCCTGCTGTATCTCTGAGCATTTTGGGTCTGCCCTGCACTGAATTCTTCCAGTTTTTTTTTTTTTTTTCTAAAACGTCCTTAACTCCTTTGCATCTTTTAAGAAGTTTATTTTTTTTACTATTTATGAAAACCTAGACTGACAGCTCTTTGAGCATGTTAAATATGTTATTTCATTGTTTTTGAATTGTCTCTGAATTGCCGTTCCTTAGAATTTGTCCTTTTTTTTTTTTTTTTACTTCTGGCTGCTTTTAATATTCACTCTTAGTTATCAGCGTTTCACTATGAGATGCCTAAGGGCAATATTCTTTTTATTTATGCTAAGCAGGTTTTGGTTTGGTTTGGTTTGAACAAAAGTCACATCTACAGACAGAAAACCGTACACGTGTATACATTTCCAGGAACCCACGCACACCTGCTTGTGGGTAGTGATTCGGGCCCCTCCGCTGTCTGCTATGGTTTGAGTGTTCGCGTCCCCCCACCCCATTCGTACGTTAGAATCCTAACCCCCAAGGTGATAGTTGTAGGAGCTGGGGCCTCTGGGAGGATATTGGGTTCCGAGGGTGGAACCCTCAGGATTGGGGTTAGTGCCCTTATGAGGGGCACCCCAGAGATCTGGCTTCGTCCTTCCAACTTGGGAGGACACAGTGGGAGTCAGGCAGCCTGCGGCGGGAGGTGGGCGGCCTGGGAGCTGAGCTTGAGGGTGCGCTGCTCGGACGTCCAGAACCCGCACAGCGTGCTTCCGCCCGTCTGAAGCCACCCAGTCTGGCATTTTGTTACAGTGGCCCCAACGGAGCAGGACCACAGTCCATCCCGGACCACAAGCCCAGCCTCAGGCAACCATGCATTGGTTTTCTGTGCCTCTAGTTTTGCTTTTTCCGGAACATCACGTGCATGGATCGTACTTGTCCGCTTTGACTCTTCCCTCACTTAGCGCGACGTGCTCGACAGTCACCGTTTCATTGCACAGAAGGGTAGTGCCCCCCGCTTTGTATTTTGCACCATTTATCCATGTGCTAGTCAGCCTGTAAAATGGCCCCAGGGAGCCCACCACGGGGCACTCACACCTCCAAGAGGACTAGAATCTTGGCCAAGAATTGAGCTGCCTCATGAGGGACCCTGAAACCAGGGCACTCAGACCAGCCTCAGCCAGACTCCTGACCCACAGAACGTATGAATTCACCGTCTTCTGTTGAATTAAGCCTCTAAGTTCCGGGGGCAGCGGGCGGGTGCTTTACAGAGCAGGAGACAACCAAGTGATCCAGTCATGGTCCAAGGGTGTCCATTTTGGATGATGGTCAACGATGGCCCAATAAACCCTCGCACACGGGTCTCCTCATGGGCACGGTCTTCCTGCTGTCCGTGTAGCCTCTCTTCTTTCTCCAGAATTCCAGCCACTTTTTCACCCCACCCTTCCTGCCTCCAAACCGTGTTCTGGAATCCCTGATCTTCTCCTGCTTCTTTGTGTCTCCTTCTGTAATGTTCTCATTGATCGTCCAGTTCCTCAGGTTTTTTTTTTTTTTTTTTTTAATGACTGTGTCTAATTAGCTCGAAACTCATCCTCTATTGTAGTTAATTTTATGACTATTTCTCAATTTCAGAATTTCCATTTGACACGTTTTTATAGTTTCCCGTTTCTGCGGATTCTCATTCTTTCATCTCCTTGGGCATAGTAAACACACTTAGCTTCAAGCAAGTGCTTCTGAACTCCCGTCTTCTGGGCTCCCAGGGATGCGCCGCAATGGACGGCTATTTCCGCTTGTTAATTTGTGATCTTGTCTTGTGTCATCATGTGTCTGGTTTTTTGACTGTGTGTTAAACACTAGATTTGAAACATGGTTTGTTACATCCTTTGGAAGCCTCGGATGCTGTCGATGTCCTTTGAGACACAGACATCCACACACATTTCTTCCCAGGTACGTGTGGGCCCTGTCAGTCCTGAAGGACGTCTGTCAAACAGCCGGGGTTGAGATGATTCAGAGCTGAGCTGTGGTTTCTAGATTGGGAACACCCAGCCCTTAGGAGGGACACCTCGAGGCTCTAACCCATGACCTTGGCAGACCCTGGACTTAGTCTGTCCCCACAGTCCAGGAGGGTGTCAGAAATCCAGTCTGGCTTCTGAGCTGGCGTCTACGGACTGGGAGAGTGTGTGGATGTCCCTTGGAGAAGAGCCTAGAATGTAGGCTTCCTTGCTTGGTCCTCCCTGCATTCTAAACCCCCTTCCTCCATCTCTTCCCTGGATCTCAAGGTCGTAATGGTTTTCTAGTGCCTTTAATCAGATTAAACAACAATGGAAATTTTGGCCAGCTTTTCCGGATGTCCTCAGGAAAATCATCCCAACAGCCATGGGCTGCTTTTATGTGTGAGAGAACTAAGTTATTTGTTTAAGCCACTATCAGAATGATTTTTGGATAAACACAGTCTAGCCAATTTCTAGATGATACATTCCTTTATATACACCAGTTAAATACTTAAGGCCAGTTTGGTGTTTACCATAACTTCAGTATTATTTTCCCTCACACTACTCAGGTATGAGAAGAAAAAGGTATTTTTTTTTTTTTAATTAAAAGTACCATTAGAACAACCCCATCTCCTCCTTCTGTTCTGTATAATCTCATTTTATATTGGCTCCCACGTAGCGAATACTCCACAACAATCTTTGAAAAGTCAGCTAACACTGAACACAACTATCATTCTTTAACCCAACCCATAAAATGCTACAATATACCCTCCAGCGAAGTTTATGATCTATGTTCCAGCTTTTAAACCTACTTCATTTTTACGTTTCAAATCCATTCTCCCTAGAAAGTTGACAGAACTTAATACTTTCATCTATTTACTTCCGAGTTTAAAAAGCACTTACCATTTGAGACGGAATTCCCATTTTCAGCAGTGATAGCACTCGAGAGTGAATTAGATAATTGAATTCCATGGTTATTTGCATTTCTATCTTGAGTCTCAGATGCAATTTCTGATCTACCAGCATCCTCTCGGCCAGTGAGGTTCATGTTAGTCTCAAAACCTAAAATAAATTTTAGAAAGGGTTACTCTTTTTGGATAAAATGCACCCACTAATTTAATAAAATAGTAGAAGAAAATAATACAACTCATCAAATGAAACACTAATTGTATTTGAAATAGTAAATCAATAATCATCCTTCATTAAATTTCTGGCCTACAAAATGTTGACCAAATTTTGTCACAGCACTCTCAAACGTAATGGGGAATATTTAGTGGTGTTAATGAATTACATAATTTACTATTTTCAAACATATCTGTACAGAATTTTTGGTGTCAGAGTCTAATAACTTGTCACTAGAGTGCCGTCTGTCTTGAGAATGCTATTTCCTAAAAGAAAAGCGTGGAAATGAATTTATGTTTCACAAGTTTTCTCAATTACTAAATTAAGCAGAGCTGAGACAATCCCTACAGGTTTGAAAAAATAAGAAATACACTTACAGCATCTTACCAACTTTATTATTATCCACTGAGGACTATTAAATCTCAAAACCCTACCTTTGCATTCTGAACACTAACATTACCTAATTGTTCACTGCGTGTCCCCAAGTTGAGTGCTCGGGGATCAATGAGTACAAGAAGCCATCCCCCAAATTAGGCTGAAGAGCCAAATGAAGATTTTTTTTTTTTTTTAACTACGTAGAAATAATAAAGTAAAATGTAACAAATGCCAGGGTTTGGAGCAAAGTCTACCGCATTATCCTGAGGCAGGGTCTATGAATGACCAGAGGGAGCAAAGGAAGCACAGTTGTCCACCAGGGCGTCAGGTGTGGCCCCTGCTACCCCCCTCCCTTGGAGTCACCGTCCCTCCCTGGGGACGGGGGAGCCTGGGACTGGCTCTTGCTTCCCAAGGGATGTCTGGAGGATCCTTGTTCAATATGGACGACGTGGATGTTGCTTCTGGTCTTCAGTGGTACAGAGTGGATTCTGACTGCCTTTCGGTTAGGGCTTTCTGAAGTTTAAGGCTAACAGATTATTCGAAAGAGATAAAAAGCCTAATTTGCTTTATTATACTTTACATGCGACAGAATGGTTTATCTCCAGTGATCCCGAAGGAGGGAGGGAGGAGGAGGGAGGAAGTAGGGGAAAGAATGGAGGGAGGGAGGAAGAGAGGGAAGGAGGAAGAAAGGATGGAGGGAGGGAGAAGGAAGGAATGATGGATGGAGGGGAGAGGAGGAAGGAAGAATATAGGGAGAGAGGGAGGGAAAAAAGGGAGAAGCCTGGCCCTCCAGAGCTTGTCTCTCCAGGTTGGTCTTGACAGGATCCTTTCTACGTCTTGCCTCTATGCTGATCTCCCCTTGCCCTCGAGTCTTACACTCCAACAGCACGACAGGCAACGATCACGTATCCAGACGCTCCACACTGACCCACATTCCCTGCTTTGCCATAGGCACTCCCACCAGCTGGGCTGGCTCCTGTCCTCACCAGTGGGGCTCGTGGTCGGACGAGCCCCAGGGACCTGTCACTTAGAAGTGGAGGGTGCAGCCGGTCTGCCCCGCAGGAAAGCGTGCTGCTGTCCAGAGCAGGAGATGCTGGAGGGATAGAACGGAGACAAAATGGTCAGGCCTTTGAAAACCACGGCAGCTCCTGGATCCCTGCACTTGAAAACAAGCAGAAAAGCGTTGGCTCAAGCAGCGTGCGGAAGAACAGGGATGAGCCTGAGAGCAGCTGATCGGGAGGGACCGTCGGAGTTCTCGGGCTGCCACTGCAAGACTACCTATTCCTTTCGGTCGACTCTCGCTTGCCTTTCAGAGAAATCAACTTAGCAACACGCTTTGGCTGTAAAGTTGTCTCAAGACACAGATGCTGGTCAGCCTCTCTTCGAGCTCCTTTTCTCGCTCTTTGATTCGGTTGTTTATTGAATTCCTATGATGTGTTTGCACTCTTCGTGAACTCCACGTGCCGTAACGACCATGACAAACGGACAGCCGTCGCGCAAGGAGCTGAGGTTCTGTGCCGGTGCAGTGGGTGCTTACCCAAGGCTGGGAACCAGGGCGTCTATCCCTGCGTGAATAGGGACGGTCGTCTTCGCTCCGGCGGGACAGAACTCAGTACTCGGATGCACTGCGTAGACTCTTGCTATAGACAAGATGCTAGCATCCCTCTTCACCAACTTCCGGCTCCTAAACAATTCATGTTTATATAGTCAAAATCTCCAATTTTCCTATTACGGTTTTAAAAATATTTCTCTCATCAGCAGCTTACACTGGAGCCAAGGACTGGTTTTCAACGTGCCGTACTAGTTAGGCGGAGATTCTTACATCACCTCTAAAATTTTCTTTGTATTTCTATCTTAAAAGCATAGGTCTATTCGGGGATGGCTCTGGGTTGGAATAAGGAAAGAAGTCCTTCTTCCAGTAAAACAGAAGAAGCGATGGCCAATCTAACGATAATTATTTACCTTGTTCTGATGATAATCACCAGCTCCTGAGGGTTTAGGAAGTGCCAACCCCCCACCAGACGTGACATCTGATTTTGCCCTGGTTTTCCTGCTTCTGAAGAGCTGTCCCTTTCACACCCATTTTCGAGATGAGGTCCCAGAGGCTCGGGGAGGTTAACCTCCGTGCAAACATTTCAGAATCAGCCGGGTTCAGACAGAGGCACTTGGACTCCACCATCCACCCACACTCATTCTTACGCTTTGGCCCTTCTGTGTAAAGCCTCCCGTCCTTGCATCTGCTGATCTAAAGGGGAAGGCGGCTGCTTCTCTGTGGCTTCCCTGGATCCCCCGTGCCTCGGTGGTAATGAACCGGGAACTGCAGGCTGAACACTGTCCTCCAGCCACCGAACTGGACTTGCAACATCTATACCAACGTCTCCCTTCTAGGGTTATCCTTCCTCATGAATATTAATTGTGGGGGTGGTTCTTGGCTTCCTAAATTCTGTGTCAGCCTCTGCTCATAAACACCCTGGCTCAGAGGGAAATCCAGACACATCCGAGCGCCTGTGCCCCAACTTGCTAATGCCTAGTTTCAGCCACAATGAAGAGCAAAGGCAGAAACCCTCCGCGGTTTGATTTTGCTCCAAAGGGTCTGTTTAGCGAGCAGCTGCCATGTTCCTCATCAAGAAGATGCCCGTGACCCTGGACTCAGGCACGGGAGGAACCCGAGGACCCTGGGATTGAGTAGGGAGCAGTTCCAGTTACAAGGGCACGTACACAAGGTCTGTACTTCAGGGAGGGTCCTGCAAGGAATGATCCAGAGCCAACAAAGTCGTGAGGCCTTGTCATGCCTCCAAGCAGTGGCCCCTGGGATTTTCAGGGTGAAGAAAAGTCGGTCACAGTCACACCAAAAGAAAATACTTGAGGCTCTGAGTGGGTCTAAGCCAACAGGGAGGGAGCGTGTGCGGTGAAATCCCACACAAAGACTGAAGGCGAGTCTGAGTGACTGTGTGTCCCGCGTCTTGTGTGCTCAGAGGTTTGTGGAGCTCGGTGGCACCCACGATGCTGCTCCGTCTGCACACCTGGGCTGTTCCCTCTGAGCCTGTAAACAGGACTTCTCTGTGCCCCCTGCCCGGGGCTGTTTGCACAGGTACGAGAGAAGTGAATCACCCTGGGATCTGACTCAAAGAAAAACGTCGGCCTTTACCCCAGGATATGACAGGTTAATTATGAGCACGCAGTGTGGACACAGTTAGCTCGAATCTTAATCGAGTGGGAGAGTTCTAGCGGATCTGCAAGTGCGGATGCAGGAAAAATTTCAGCTTTGCTGTGTTCGTTTTTTGTTTGTTTGTTGTTGTGGGTTGTTTTTAAAAAAAAAAAAATATATATATATATATATATATATATATATATATATATAAAAAACACTAAACTATCACTCTGGGTGGGTGTTATCCTTTGAAAACTGGTTTTCCATAGAAGGTGATATCGTACCCCGGAATATCTGGGCATGACTGGAGACCTTGCTAGTCCCCACCCCGGAGGAGGGGGCAGTTACTGGTGTCCAAGGGCAGCCAGTCCCTGGGAAGAGGAGTTCCCGCCCAGGAGGCAGCTGGCCTGAGCTGACCACCTTCTTCTGCACCCTAAGTCAGACCATGCCATGTGCCCACTCAGGTCTCTCCACTGGTTTCTGTTTCACTTAGGGAAAACAGAAAAAATAATAAATGAATGATCACCACTAAACTGCTGGAGAAATTTTTGTTTTCTAGAAGGAAACTCCATGTTTTGCAATGAAAACAGTTGACCAATTTACTTACTACGGAATCCGTGGGAATGATTATGGGAGAACCTTGGTAACTGTTTGTCCTCATTCACACGAGATTGCTGACAACATGAAAGGACTTTCACTGTGAACATACCTTTGAGCTTCTAATCTCTGCTTATTTAAAATGATGAGGTAAGGAAAACTTCTCATTGAGTGAGGTGAAAATCTCGTATGTATTCAAAGGGCCAGAGCCGTTTGCTTTCCAGCTGAGCGTTAACATGAGGGGAAGGACGGACTCTGGGACAGCTGACATCTATTCCCGACCCGCAGTGTGCATTCAGGGTTTCACTACCAGTTATCACTGAAGAGTATGTCCTCCATGTCCCACCGATATGGAAGGTTCATGCCTGCTCAGTGTTTAAAAATCTTAACTGTACACGGCTTTGCGACCTGTAATCTCAGAAAACTGCCATCAGTTTGATAACTCTTGGCTCTGGCATCTTGCTGCCTAGAGACAGGAGACAGGAGTCTACAGAGTGATGGTCGTGGACCCCACCCTCACCTGCCAAGGCCATGTCCAAGGCCCAAGCACCAGTCAGTTGGTGGCAGTTAATGGTGGCGGAAGACAGCTTTGGCCAATGTGCACTTTGCTTATTTTCCCGCTTTAAACAAATGCTCCATTCTTTCCCTAAATATTTGTCATCGTACTTATCTTTCTTAAAGACGCCCCGCACCTGCCCCATGGTCTGGAAAACACAATGGTCTGGAAAGCCTTTTTGCTCAGAGAAGAAAGGGGAGGAGAGGACAGAGAGGAAAGGAGGAGAAGGGAGAGAAGAGGTGAGGGGAGAGAGGAGGAGGG